GTTGGTTGATATGCAGGATCGTTATTGATGAGGTGAAACGTTAATGAGTTGAGTCATTGATGAGTTCACTTTGGTGAATCGATTCGTTGATGCGATGATGGTTCATAAATTAGGTTGATGAATTGGATCATTGATATGTTTGGTTGTTAATGAGCGAACGTTAATGAGTTGGGTCATTGATGGGTTGGTTCGTTGATGACTTTGAGCGTCGATGCATCGAATCATTGAAGAGTTGACCGTTGCAGTGTTGAGTCATTGTTAAGTTGGGACGCTGATGATTCGATACGTTGCCCAGGCAACCATTTGTCTAATGATCATGTCACTGTGACGTCCCTAATTGGTGATTTTTCGCCAGAGACGTCAAAAACTGGTATGACGTCTCTGACGAAGAATCACCAATTAGGGACGTCACAGTGACACGTCCCAACTCATCGATGATCCAACACTTCAACTATACTTTCTATGACGTGAGAAATACGTCATCATCTCGTCGTCTAGGGAACGACAATTAGAAAGGTAAAATGAGACGTCAATTTCATGACGTACCTATGTATACAAGATGGGTATTTTCAGTGGCGTAAAGCTTTCAGAAAAAATGAATTTTTTATCAATTTACACTGATATATAGAAACTTGTACGTCTTGGTAATTTTATAGATATATAGATATAAGTATAACTCATCAAAACATGCAAGTTTTATTAGAATTATATATATATCCGAAAAGAAAACTATATAATAATTATGTTTATATTCAGAATTTAAAATAGGTGTACCTATATTGAAACCGTCACTTCAATGACTTTGCAGTGACGTATCTATGACGTCTGAAAATCACGTCGATGTGACGTACCAATTTGGTGAGCTCCGTCATTCAGAAATTTTTTTAGTAATTTGCTATTCAGATTTTTGTTGCGTGACAAATAATTTATGAATATACGTTACTCAACAAAGTGAAGCTAGATTCGCCAACATCGTTTTTATTGCTTATCAAACTATTTTTGGTTTGCTTACATCTCGCCGACACAAACTACATAATTTGTTATACAAATTCGAGTAACTGATTTCATTCTGATGGTACTGAGGGATAGCGCTGCTGAATAGACGATTGAATGGACATGACACCTGAGGGACCACCAAGTAGACTCAACAATGCATAATGAATATTATATGTCATCAGAGGTCAGTGGTGATTATCACACCATGTTCGAGGAAACTTTTTTATGTGTCATCACCAAATTTAATCGTCATTCTGACGTCATTTTGACGCCAGCATGACGTCACAGTTTGGTGAGTGAATGACGTCGATAAACGTGAGTAATATGACGTCATTGGGCTGTGACTGACGTAAAAAGGAGTCTCTGAAACGTCATCTGGTTGCCTGGATGGTGAGTTGAGTATACATGAGTTGTTTCGTTGATGAGTTAGCTTGGTTGATTAGTTAGGTCGTCGATGAGGTGAATCTCGATTAGTTGAGTCGTTGATGAGTTGATTGTTGATGGGTTGAGTCGTTAATGTCTTGATCGTTGATAAGTTAGGTAGTTGATGATTTGACTCGTTGATAAGATGGATTGTTAAATAGGTGGGTCGTTAATGTGTTGATCGATAATATGTGGACGTTGATGAATCGGATCATTGATGAGTTGGGCCGTTGATTAGTTTGGTCCATAACGATTCGACTCGTTGATAAGTTGTGTCGTTGAAGATTTGACTCGTTGATGGGTATTTCGTTGATGAATCTGGCCGTTTACGACTTGGGTCGTTAATCAGTAGTATTATTTATGGGTTGACCGTTGATTAGTTGGATTGTTGATAAGTTTGTTTTTTGAGGAGTTAGGTTGGTTGAAAAGTTAGGTCGCTGATGAGGTGAATCGTTGATGAGGTGAATCGTTGATGAGTTTGGCTACAGATCCAATTATCATCATATTAAGATCTACAACCTTTGCTTCTTGCGAGATTACATGATCTATGCATACTCATAATCTTATTCCAGAACGTTACTCAATATTTATTGATACGATTTGCAAGTGATAAAAAAGAAGATGAATGGAACTACTCACATTCGAAAAGTACACTTCAATCATTCTAGGACTAGATTTGTCCATTTTTAGCTATACCAACAGACAATGCTCTGCTATTCATGCACTGATAATCAAGCCAAGAATGAATCTGTCTCTTTGTAGCATGAGGCCTCGAATATTTGCCTGAAGCATCATACTACCTGTATTATGATCTGATATGTATTCAATTTGCAGTGCTTATTGTAGGGAATGAGCTTATTGGAAAAAACTCCGATATAAATTGTAAAAAAACACAGGAACTTAAGTAATTCAACCCTGTCGAGTGTTTTAACAACTCAGGTATTACCTGATATCGAACTCGTCAACGAATAGAATTTTCTTCCTGCAATCATGAAACAGATTGATTATCCGCTCGAGATTTTTTATCGATTTGTCAAATATCAAAACGAAATGGAGTTGTACTGGGTGAACGACTAAGAACGGCTGTCGGCCATATATCAGCAACGAATAATGATAAAAGTTTGAGATAGAATAAATCAAATGGTATGCATATCATTACACGATGTAATAGAGAAACTGAATCTCAAACGGACCAACGGAAACAGCGACATGATAGCTTTTCCTCAACGAAAGATATCAACTATCAAAGTTGGAAGAATGATAGAAATGACAGCCGTTCTTAGTTGTTTATCGGGTACATAATGGACAGGACACTTTTCTTAAGACTCTTACGTGCTAGTATCGAGTTCTTATTTCACATCATCATCATGATGCAGAAGTCTCAGGTCAAATTGTGTATCCTCAATACTAATAATTGCGACGTTGCCAAATTTAGGGCTCAACAACGATACAATCATGTGTGGGCTCAACAACGTTTATACATATCTGAAGTGTATATCCCTATATACAAAAAAGCGCCCTCTACAGGCCGATCCCCGAAGTTTTTGCTGTATGTCGGTTATATTATCGGTATATTGTGGAGCCCGACCAAAAATGCGGGAAATGGCTTTTCAAACAATTCTGACCACTCAGTGAAGAGATACAGGGCGATACGTTGTTGAGCCCGAAACCGGGCTCAACAACGTTTCTTCGGGCTCCACTACGTAGCGTTCATATGCTAATCGGGCTCAACAATGACCGTTTAGTTATCTATATATATATATATATATATATATATATATATTAGTTTCTTTCAAAATTAATTTGAAATCTCATTTCGCTAACACCTGTTCTTATCATACCCTGAACATACAGAAAGTTCTTCACTGTGACTGTTCGGTTTTCATTCCATTTTTTATTCACACGAGATATAGAAGCAATTCTACGACTACCTCAGACTCAGATTTCCATATCTCTAATAGTCTTGGCTGAATTGGTTTCCAATTTATCACGAATCGAAGCAAGTTGAGCAGCTTTTTCGAACCAGTCTAAAACATCGATAATATATGAGGAGTGATGTATGAATATCGTCGAGCCGACTTTGATAGCATCACAACCAATGGGCTCTGTCGGCTTCATTTCATATCTTTCACAACTTTTGAATGGCAAAGTGGATCTGATTTTATGTATGCGATATTATTGCTCCAGATGTTGCGGCCCATCAGACTGAATTCGATATGGCATATGATATTTCGCATATGTACTGTCTATATCTTTCTTATTCGAAGTGATTCGAGCTTTATAGCTCATGAAAATCCTGTCAGGAATTTTATGTGGATATGAAAGCAAATCGAATGATCAGTAGCACTGCGTTCACGGTGTTGATATTGAAATCATTTCATGCATATTATATTCGGTCAATAGAAGGAGAAATTGCGATTATTGAATATATTCCATTTTTTGATCAGCTGAATCAAAAGTTCACGTTTGTCCTTCTATTCCTGGGTCCTTAATTTTAGTCCGACGGATGAAAGACAAAATGATGTCCTTGGTGGGTAGTTATATTGGCCCAGGTTACGGTGTTGTCGTCAATACATCTTCAAGGGCCGTGCGTTACGAGTTATCATTGCCCATGCCATCCTCTCACTCTTTGACTCATTTTTATTTGGAATGGATAGAAGTATTCACCACCTGAGGCACAATTCCAAGAGTTACTTGAAAACTCTGAGTTTGTGAATATAATCATAGAGGTAAATGTCATGAGTACAATGCATTATTTCATTCCATCTGTATTGATTGGCCTCCACTACCTTCTTGATATTTAGAAAGCTGTTAAGTGAGTTATAATTCATATTTCAAATTCGTTATTTAAAAAATATCAGATTTGTGACCGGTCTCCATCTATGTTGATGATATACCTCTTTTATGATCTCACCTTAGCAAACCATAATCTACGATACAACTCACAACAAACATACATGTTATATAACTCAGCTTATAGTTGAAGAAGACACAAATTCTTGGGTCTCTTCGTCATTCTTCAAATCTCGTTAGTGCCTTCATTTTTTTTTCACATTTGTTGACATATCAATGAATGAGCTTTCTTATTGTGGTATCAGCGGTCTAGACACCTAGTATATGTAAGGTTATGTTAGTGACTATGATGGATTCAAATGAAAATCTATTTTTTTTGTGCGATGGATATACATTCTAGAATCTGAACTGAAGAGTTTCAAATTGGAATAACGCAGAAATCGATGTCTAAATGGACTGTTATATGTTATGTGGGATCCTATATTCATCCAAAATGTATTAAAGTGTACCTGGATCCACTTTAACAAGAGTCATATACAGAATACCGAGCGGTTGCCATATGTGCCACTTGCTCACATCTCGAGATTCAGCAAGCTAATCCAGATCGATGGAGTCGCTTCAAATTCGTAGATAAGATCAATACAAATTCCATATTTCCGCCACATTTGCCTGTGAAAATAGCATTCGGTGCTGCAGATAGGCCTGTCTCTACCTGAAGTGTCATTTATCTCGACGACGCCTGTCAGAAGGGCCATCGTACAGTATTTCGTTCAATAGTTTGCACTTACCTTGAAAAGAATGCTGATGCCGAGGTTCATGAAGGGTTTCGTGAAGTCTATGACGCTTTCTCTCGCATAGTTGATTGTCATCGAGCCGACGGCCAAATCAGCCTTCTACGATGGGTACATGAAATAACAAATCAGTAATTTTGAAGAAATCAATTATTGATTATGAATACTGTTTGTATATTCTTAGTATGTCAACTTTCAAAAATCTATCCTCTGTGTCGTTCTGAAAATTATTGGATAGAATATGAATTCTGAAACACATTGCAGAAAATAATACTCAGTTACAATCATGATTTCGAGAAAAATCCTGTTTTTTTATTGATTTTTTCTGTTTATTTCTTTATTATTCAAACTCAAGTATACGCCATATGATTAAATGATGCAATTCGGTTCTGTTCTGAACAAGAAATAAAAAACATAGCATTATATATTCGAAAGTTATGAGAATGAAATAAAATGCTTTGTCTATCTGTGCTAAATAGTCTGAATTATTTCTAAATATGTTGTATTATGAATGAGATTCTCAAGTCTGCAGTCGGCACGCAGAAAAATTTACCTGCGAGACTCTCGCACGAGACACGAGAAGTCTTGCACCAGACTCGAGACAAGACCAATGAAAGTCTCGTCTCGTCTTATCCGAGTCTCATCTCGTCCGAGTGTCGTCTCGAGTCTTGTCTCGAAAACGAGACGAGACCATGCGAGACTCTCGAAAACGATACTCTCGCGGGAACCACTAGGAGACATTCATCGACTCATGTTCATTGGAATTTTGCTTCCTATATTTCTGGTCGTAGAAGACACTGCTGAAGTTTGGCAGGCTAATTTCTATAAACTCTGTAGACATGAAATTGTTTCCTACCTAGACACTGACACATTTCTCCCCTGATTTTTTCTTCGGTTTCAGTTTGTCCTTGAGATTTGCCAACTTCACCTTACTAAATGTTCCAGATCCGTTTCTATTTCCTCACTACCGTCAGATTGATTTTAATTCAACAGGTTTGAACCAGATGCATATTGCACAGCACTCTTTATCTGATTATTGTGAAGGTAGAAGCACAGACTTATTAGTAGTTTTTTTCAGAAGTGTCCAGTAGAGAAATATACAGGGTGTCAATTTGAAAACTTCCCACCCTCAATATCTCCCTCCAAGTCGATAATATGGAAAAACGAAAAGACAGGTCGATTTTATTTTCGAGGGGGACATGGTTCTAAAATATTTTCAGCCCCGCGGCGTTGCCGCTTCTAACGAAAAGAAGCAACAACTTTGTTATTTCAAATGGAACACCCTGTATTTTATTGCATTTTTAGATTCTCACTGAAAAGCTGATTTCATCAATGTATCACACTTGGGGTCTAGCAGGAATGATTACAGAGATATAGGGTGTTCAAAATCGAGATTTTACAACTTTAGGATTTTTTTGAGTCGAAACTATTCATTATTGGTCAAAACGGCTTTCATGTCCCTATCTCAACTTTTGATTTACTATCTACTGACATTTATTTGAAACAAATACAGGGTGGTTCAAGATTCAGACTTTTGATCACCCTGTATTTGTTTCAAATAAATGTCAGTAGATAGTAAATCAAAAGTTGAGATAGGGACATGAAAGCCGTTTTGACCAATAATGAATAGTTTCGACTCAAAAAAATCCTAAAGTTGTAAAATCTCGATTTTGAACACCCTATATCTCTGTAATCATTCCTGCTAGACCCCAAGTGTGCTACATTGATGAAATCAGCTTTTCAGTGAGAATCTAAAAATGCAATAAAATACAGGGTGTTCCATTTGAAATAACAAAGTTGTTGCTTCTTTTCGTTAGAAGCGGCAACGCCGCGGGGCTGAAAATATTTTAGAACCATGTCCCCCTCGAAAATAAAATCGACCTGTCTTTTCGTTTTTCCATATTATCGACTTGGAGGGAGATATTGAGGATGGGAAGTTTTCAAATTGACACCCTGTATGAATGATTGTGTAGATACTATGTGTTTCTGTGTTTCTCTATGATTCGTGAAATTTTGTTGGACTAGTTTCAATAAATCTCATATTGTAATCTAATGGACGTTCTTCAAATAAATAGGTATTGTGAACTAACTTTATATAATATGGTGGGCATATAACATTTTGTGAACTGATTCGACAATTACTACACTAATCATAAGGTCTACCTTTTCATCATCTGAGTTAAGTGTCACTTCTGTTCATATCTCATTATGTTGATTCAGTTCATTTCGAGGTTAATTCATCCTATTTCGGAATTTCAATCAAACAATGAATTTATGGTAGATGGCTTTCAGGCGTTTGTAATTATTAACATTTAATTGCATTCAACTGTGTAATATGTGGAATTGGCTCATTGCCCTAGAGAACGAGCAACTTTCCCTAACAGGGCCGCAAAATTAGGTATGCCAAATAACTGAAACGGTAGATATACATACAGGTTGTCCTAGAATATCGTTCGATTACTCCGGGAGGTATTTCTACAGATAAAAATAAGAAAAAAATGTGTCCAAGAATCTTTCTTGAAGGAGCTTTGAATGTTAGTCCTTGATTGAAGTTTTCTTTCATTATCTTAATTGAATCTTTGCCGCCATGATCCTGGAAGCACGTAATTAGGAATTTTGGGCCCAGGATTCTATGGTTGGAATATGTCTGATGAGTTGTGTATCTTGAAAGGATTCTGCTATTTCGGAATGTTATTGTTGGCTTTCAATTGATAAGAAAAGTTTGTCTCCATCACAAACATGTATCAAATAAATAGATATACAGGGTGACATTTGGAAAACTATTCACCATCAATATCTTCCTTGCAGTGGATAATATGAGAAATCGAAAAAACAGATTGATTTTATTTCCAAGGGGGACACTGGAAATGATTAGTTTCAGCACTCTTGGTAGATGTTACCCTCACAATCTCAAATGGGAAGGGGGGTCAAGTGGCTCATTATTTTGAAGGGCGTTCAATCACATTTCCGAAGGTACCCTAGTCAATCATTTTCACCCAATAATATCTTCCTTTCAGTAAATGATATGAACAATCGAAAAGACACGTCAATTCCATTTCTGACGAAGACACTTGAAATGCCTATTTTTAGGCCTCTTAGTTCAACCCCCTAGGAGGGGTAGATTTCACCCTTTGAACCTAATATAAAAAGGGAGGTCAAGATGCACATTATTTTGAAGGGCGTTCGAATCTCTTTTCAACTATACCCTAGTTTTTCATTGTTTGATTAACAGTTTTCGAAAAATGCCGTTCCAAACTTACAGGAGTAATTAGAACATGCTTGCACTGATATCTCGACTAATATGCATGGTTTTCAGGTTGGTTCCAGCTCCAGTATAGAAGATAGATTTTAAAATGAATCTAATAGTGATTATTTCCCTCCTCTCACCAAATTTAAACGAACTGATACTAATCTCTTCTGGATTGACATCACATTCATAGCAATACATTTTAATGCTTCATAAAAATAACATGTATTTTCGATATTATGAGGCAAAGAGACGATCCAAGGTTAAGTGGAAGAACAGTTTATGTGGTGACTTGTAATCCCCACCTAAACTGTACTTCGCCTTCTACTCCCAATGATTATTGGTATTATAATATTGTTATTATTGTTAGTATTATATTATCATTATTATTATTGAGCTGATTAATTTTTTTGTGAGTAATAAAGACGTTAATTATTATTATTATTATTATTATTGTATTTACCCTTTCAGTCCAAATGGTAGGAAGATTTTGAATAAATTCCAGTGCAGGCATGTTCCAATGACTTCTGTAAGTTTAGAACGGCATTTTTCGGAAACTGCTCATCAAAAAATCATGAACTAGTGTACTGTTGGAAAAAGAATTGAACGCATTCCAAAATGATGTGCCACTTGACATTGAAATTGACCTTATCTTTTCGATTTCTCATTTTATTTACTGGAAGGAAGATTTCAAGGGTGGGAAGTTTTCTAATTGACATGGCATTTTTAGGAAACTGCTCAACAGAAAATGATAAACTAGGGTTCCGTTGGGAAGATAATTGAACTCCTTTCAAAATAATTTGCCAGTTGACCCCCCTTCCCATTCGAGATTGTGAGGGTAACATCTAACCCTCCTAGGGAGTTGAACCAAGTGGGCTGAACATATTTATTTCAAGTGTCCCCCTTGAAAATAAAATCGACCTGTCTTCTCGATTTTTCATATTATCTACTGAAACTAAGATATTGAGGGTGCGAAGTTTTCAGAATGTTATCCTGTATGTTCTTGCTTGAAAATTGCTGCCCCAAATGTTGAACGGACGAATTTGTACAACTTTGAATTTTCAAAACTTGCGGAAATAATTGACTAGGATTTTCTTTTCTGATCTGAATCGTATGAAATCAATCATAATAAAATTCATACCAGAATTCAATATTGAATGGCACTGTATAAGAGTCACATCGATTATGAAGCTATGCAGAGATGATTGATATTTCTCTAAAGAAGATTTCAAACTGTGAATCGGATACCAGCTCATCAACTTATAATGTAGATCGCCATTGATCATGCCGTATTTTTTTCCCTCGACATTCTGTTTGGATCGTTTCGTCAAACCTCGTAAATCATCTCTTGGCATTTTTTGCTTCGCTATGCGAAACGTTATATCTGCATCTCACCAGAGCATATTGAAAATACATGTTTTTCATGGAGTTCATTCGATTCGACTTCATACAGCTAATATCGAACGTCAATTTATTCCATATCGATGATTTTGAATTTGCAGCAAATGCGAATTTGTGTCGAAGATTTTTACGCGTCTGATAAAACAACTACTCTGCCGTCATGAGCAGTAAAGGGCCTAAGTCCGCCTAAGTGCAAAATTCGTCCTTCATGAGATATTAATCTTATATAGTATTTCATCCACATGCTCCAGTGGTTTTTGGAAATATCTTCATATTCCAGAAACGGAGTTTTAAATGAGGGCTGAAATGCACTTCATGGGTCATTTGCTAGGAAAAAACGGCCCATCTCTCAAAACTAAGTCATACTAGGCTTATCTGATGATTGAAAAGTATGTACATGTGCCTTTTATACTTCAGTATTCAACATTTGCGTTCTGTTGTCCTTAGTATAACT